TCAAGGGTTTATCAATTTTTTCCATCCGTTATTTTTAGGATCCAGTATATATTACAAAATATTTCAGCTAAGTATCAATAACGTCAACGGTATGAATACGAATATCGCATATCCCTGGCTGAATGTCAATATGTGGTCAGTGCTAACAACGATGTGACAACAATGTGCTTCTGACAACATGAAACGCATTCTGCCGCCAGATATTCAGCTGGCCTCGAGAAATAGGACATTGAAGGAATTTTCATTATCCTATTTAATGATTGTTCTAAGAGTCATAACAAAGAACATAAGGTATGGATGAAATATAAAATACCAGCTTAACCTAGTACTCTTGTTAATGTATGATCATTTTTACAATATAATCTGAATGTAATCTTAATTTTGAATATCATGCTATATTCACTGTGGAATTCATGGTTTAAATTATAATAATTCATTAAACAAATTTAAACATACGGCATGTAATGCAGGATACTGTACCAACTTAAAAAAAATCTGTATGGCAATAATACACCCAAAACGAGGTAAAACTCTTGTTATGAGCAATAGTCGTGAAAATTATTACGCAATGTTATCGCGATTACTCAATGATTTCGATACGGTTACTTGTCAATTCTCATTGACTGGTTTGTTTTGGTGTTGAGCGGTTGTTTGTACAGAAAGACGGAAAGACTGATTGCGGCTAATGATTCCCGATCGAAAAAGTTCATCTTTTTTGTTGTGTATTGGAAAATATCGTAGAGAAGAAGTTACTTCAAAATGAAAATTGATTTATTCCTACAGGTAAGAAGAATTAGAACCGTTAATTAAGTTAAGTCTTTAATACAAAACACAATAATATTAAACATATACAAACTGACTGTACGTGATGGATATGTTAGTACAAAATTTAAATTAATCATTAACAAAAGTTTTTCTGATTGTTCTTTTATACTAAAAAAAAGTGGTCAATCAATTATAGGAATTTGGACTTGCTGTAATAGCGTGTTAATGTTATTTAAGTTAAGATAGCAAGTATATGTTTATTAATAAGAAACAGAATCGAATTAAAATATTGCACTAACTGATATGATTTTCTTTTTGATTTTGGGGAGTTCCCTGGTGTAACTCCGGAAGTCAAGTTCCAATATCAATGAAATTATATATTATATTCCACGGAGATGATGTGAAATTACGAAGCCCAACTGACCCAATGCACAAATAATTTTTAAAATTGGTTCGTAAATGACGGAGTTCATGCTATTTTATGTAAAGTTTTTTCAACAATTAACTTTTACAATTAACACTAATTTTGGAATATGTGTATAAATGCAGCTAGTACTTATAAAACAAACAGATAAAGATTACGCTCAGGTGAATTAACTTTGTGCAAACACTGATAACGTAAGCTATAGATAATTTTTTTTTTTTTTGCAAATGATAACGATACAAGGTTATTTTTGTTACCATGAGAAAAACTAAGCAAACACGGAAGTTAAATGATAACAGCATAGTTAAAAAAACATCAACCTTCAATTTGATTCAAATGTATTCTTTTAGTATTTTAGTAGCTTAACTAATACGAACAAAATAATAGTGTAAGCGGTGCCTCGAGCCCTTTATCCTTTAAACTGAGCTGAATAATATTATCGTAATGACTTTGTTTCATATTGCTAGAATGAAATCACTAATATTTAAGTTCATATTATTAATTTAACTTCAGTGACTTTAACTGGGGTTTGATAAACCACTTAAATTCTAAACCATGGCTTAATGACACAATTATGTATCCATAGCCACTTAATTAAGACTTTAAGATTAATATACAGATATATACCTAATAAGATATCTTCTATATATATATATATGTAATAGATTCTAAGAAGAAGAAGTTATTTTTGACATCAGAAAATATTTTGCACAACAGCTGAAGTTTAAGTACAAAATAATCCATGGTAAGTTTAGAGTTACAAAAAACGTTTAATGACCTACGAAGATTAATGAATCATATTAGAGTACTAAAATTCATATAATATAGTTTTCGTGGTTAGTTTACATTTTGTATATTACTTTTTTATTTTCTAATGTTGCACAACCAAGCACTAGTTTCAGAAAAAAAAACATGTTTTGTAACAATTTCATTAAAACCAAAAATTTTATTAAAATCGATTTTTACCTTCTTTACGACGGTCAACATTTTCAACACAGTCCGATGGTTGTTATGGATTTTGCTTTTTAAAAAGTCATTATCGAGTAACATAGTCGAATAGAATAATGTGTCTAATTACACAGGTCCTTTTTATCTTAAATCAAGGCCCTTGATTTAGAGACGTGTATTTGACATAATATACCTTTTAAATAGTGCCACAATAATAATTTTATCAATGATAGCCACTTTCAAATTTGTGTCAAGCTTATCAATGAAAATAAGTGTACCGTCCATATTTGTTTATGTTCTTCATCGATAAATGAAATAAACTTGACTTACATTACGTATCGTTCGTACTCAGTCCCTTTTCCGCTTATCGGATTTTTTGTATTCGTTTTACATTAAAAACAATGTGACGAAAGAAATCCGACCTAATGGTATTATGATAACCAAAAGACCTCGACGTGATGAAATAAAGTCGTGTTCGTGTATTGATTAGACTAAATTATACATACATATAACCATAACTAATATATAAAGAGACAATTAATATTTTCATGTTGCAAAATCGAAACTATTTTGTTAAAACTAAATTCAATCTGAGAATTTTGAAATTTTATTATGGTTTTCTTTTTTTTTTTCAATCGTATGTACTATTTTAAGTTCTTTTTACCTATACCTTTCAAAGTAAAATAAATGTCTATTTATTGCACCTTCAACTTTTTTAAGTTACGTGTTAACCCTAGTTGCAGATGCATTGACACCTTTTAGCTACCTCACTCACCAGACGAAACGCAGAAGTATAAAACTTCCACAGTGGTAGGGCCACGCAGCAGCGTCGGCTGTTGCACCAATGGGCAGGCTCGTCCGTAGTACCAACGAAGTACCACGACCTCACAGAAGACCGGCGTAAAGTCGAAGTATAATACTTTCGCATTTCGCCTGGTGAGTGAGATGGCCGGAGCCCAATTTCCAAAAAGGTTGTCAACGCATCTGCTACCCTCGGGTGTAGCAGATGTCCATGGGCGGCGGTATTTACTTAACATCAGGTGAACCGTCTGTTCGTTTGGCAACTTTTCCCATAAAAAAAAACTTCTTGCCGATCTTCTATGAGCTCGTGGTACTGAGCCTGACGGACCTGCCCAGCAACAAAGGAGAATGGTGCGTGGCCCTACCACAGTTACCTGCCCATGCCTGTAACGGATGTTCCAAATGTTCCATATATAATGGAACATCCGGGAGTAGTCTAATAAATTATCTTTTCAATATATTTATTTTTACTGTAGAAGTTTCATAGTATTAAAAAAAAAGAAAAAGATATTTTATAATTTATCAATTAGTGTAAAATGAACCTATATTGGCTGTGGGTTTTTTTTTTCAGGATGAAATTAATACGTCTAAAATATTTTTAACTATGTTTATTTGCAGACTTTACTTTAAAAAGAGAGTTAAAACGATAAAAAGCAAACAATATTAATAACCAATAATAATAAACATAACTTGTAATATAATTGTTAATGAAATAATTTCAAACTTAGAAATCATAATGTCCAAAAGAAACTCACTAGCAAATTCTACTGCAGTAGAAAAAAGAATAAAACTAGTCCCACCAGATGGCGGTTGGGGTTGGATGGTTGTCGCTGGAACAGCTCTAACAAATGTATGTATGAATTTTCAGATTTTTAGTCCTTTTTGTTCTAATTACTATGCATATTTTCATAGCAGCAGCATAATAAGCAGCTTTCGATATTAAACACAGAACCTTAGGCAATGACGATTATATTCATAACTTTCAGATCTTCAATCAGTCTATGTTATCACTATTTAGTTTGTTATATGGAGATGCATTAGAAGCTATGGGCCATAATACAAAAGGTGCTGCTGTTGTACTAAGCACTATGTTATTTGTTACAAATTTCGGTGGTCCCATTGCGGGGGCAATAGTAAAATTAACGTCGACTAGATTTGTAGCTGTGCTGGGAGCGTGCAGCTGCACTTTCGGCATTTTCCTAAGTGGTTTTTCAACTAATATATGGCACTTGATAATTACTTACGGTATTTTATTAGGTAAGGGAGCATGAAATAAATGTTTTGCATTTATAACCGTTTCCTTTTAGTTTTTTACACCAACATGTAAATATTTATTTCACAGGATTAGGACTTGGCTTCATACAAAACTCATCTTTTGTGGCAATTAATAGTTATTTTAAATTGAAGAAAAGTAGAGCAGTGGGATTAGCCAATGTCGGAACTGGTCTGGGACAGACGTTAATGCCGCATGTGGTTAGATACTTGCTAGAAAACTTTGGATTTCGAGGGGCGTGTATACTCTTAGGTTCATTAAGCTTACATGGGGTAGTGTATATAACTATTTACAAAAGTTAAATATATGTATATATATATATATTTCTCGTGAACGGGAAACACGAACTCACGCAGTGGTTTTAAATTGCAGATAGGTGGCACCTTGCTGATTCAGCCAGTAGAATGGCACATGAAAAAAGTAGAGGAAGAAGTAATAGTAGATGAAAAAGTTTACCTTTTAGACGATAATCATAAAAATATAGTAATTGACAAAGATTACAAAATAAACGGAGAACCAATATATAAAAACGGCACACGGCCATCAAGTGAAGGGCAAAATGGCAGGGAATTAATTTCAAAATCAAAAGAACAAGGGAATCCAATGTTTACTCAAGACATAAATGGTACCATAATTTGCACTGATGCTTTACTAGTTTGTTAATTGATCTTCATAGATTAATAAAAATTTAAATTAAAACTAATCGAAAAATAAATTGACGTTAAATTTAAGCTAAACACTTTAGTTACAGATAAAAATCAAGGAGAAAATGTAAAACAAAACAAGACCATGTTCAGGAAAATATACGAGCTGTTTGATATTTCGCTATTATCTAGCCCTCGATTTTTAAACATCATTTTCGGAACAGCTTTAACAGTTACGTCGATACAAAACTTTAGTTTGATATACCCTATCTTTTTACAGGTAAGTCAAAGTTCGTATTAGAATTTAAATATTTAATGTTTATCAGTAATTTAAGGTCATCTAATTGTTTACAATGTTTGTTGTACAGAAAGTAGCATCAATGGATAAACAGCAAACAGCAAATTGTATGTCAACTGTTGCTTTTGCTGACATAATTGGCAGATTGACATTACCGGCAGTCCAAGACAAGTACAAAATAAAAGCAAGAATGATGCTTATTCTTACCAGTATTTGGCTTATTATTGTCAGACAAGGTAGGATGACACATAAAATACCGCTGTTTACGGGTAAAAGATTATAAATCGCTTTTGTATATAAGGATGATGTAATCTGCTGTATATTCTGGAGTTAATTGCAAATTTTAGTTTACGACGATGTGAACGTTGTTTTGCTATTGCTTTCATAACATTATTTATGAGACAAACATTTTACACCGAATTTCGTTCTTCATAGTTATAAAATCATTACTACTTTTTTTTCAACGTTTTAAATAGAATAAAAGAGTGCGCAATGATCATTCATGTACACGATACAATATATCAAGGAAACAATAACTGATAGCGTGTAGATAAGGTTCCCAGTGTCGAAAATCGATCAAAGTAGAAAAAAAAACATTGTCATCGTTAATAATACAGAGAAACTATTATTATTTTTGATCTCTACTTGAACGATGCTTTGTAAAATACAAATCAATAATGTGAAGGGTGCCTTAATCGGTCAACATCGTACAAAGCATTCATGTTACTGTATGAAAATTACGAAATTACCTTGTTTTTTCTTTATTATATAAGAAAATAGATATTGTCAGATATAAAATAGTAAATAAGTTTATGATGTGTTCGGAATCCTAAAATAGCAATGGGTCTATCGCGCAGAATGGCGGATGAAGACTTTAACAATTGAATAACCAAACTTATTTTTCAGTAATGGTGTGTACGTTAATCACATAATTTACATTTTTTACAGTACTGGTGTACCAAACAGATTTGAACGTCTTAATCCTGATGTCTTGCCTTTACGGCTTTGGCAGAAGTATGGTGATTGTAGCCCGAAATATTGCCCTATCCGAAGATTGTAGACTAGATCAAGTGCCAGCTGCAGTGGGACTTGGAATGCTTAGTATGGGTATCATAGTACCCCCAGCGGGATATTTTCTTGGATGGATCAGAGACTACACGGGAAGTTACGTCGTCTGTATATCGGCTCAAAACGCTTTACTAGTATTATTTTTAATTATGTGGGTACCTGATATGGCACTTTTATGGTTGCAAGAGAGAAGAAAGAAAAAAGCTGAAGAAATTGAATCATCATAGATGAAAATATATTATTATTTGAAAACTTGTTAGTTACTGCTAAAGAGATTTATATGGTCATGCCTGACACAAATATTTATAAGACCTAAATTTAATTATTCCAAATCTAACGGCCGGTTTCTGAAACACTGATCATCGTAGATGTCAACTAATCAGCTATCAAATGTCTTTTCAAATTTCATTTGAGTTGCCAAAAGGATGATTAAACTCTCTGAATTGACCAGAATAATCTTCTTAATGACCAGAATGATCAATTCAAATAATTGAACTATCCTTTTGGCAACTCAAATGAAATTTGAAAAGCCATTTGACAGCAGATTAGTTGACATCTACGATGATCAGTGTTTCTATACTAGCTGTTACATTACCCGATGACATATTCATGGTAGGCAACAGGTAATTTTTAGCAATTTATCTATACATCTGTAACATTTACAATATTTAGTTTTAGATATTTAGTCTCTGCATCTTAAATCCGAAAGTCTAAATGACATAATACGATTGTTTTATGTATGTTCTCAGTAATAAAATACCTCAGGCTGTGAAGAATGATGTTATAAATAAATGATAACTTTGTAAAATAAATTAGACCGTTAGTATTTTTAAGTAACGGTAGTAATAAGTACTCAAAATGTGATATATGTTCCAAAATTTATATTAAATTTTAAAAGTAACCTCAGATTAATAAAAAGGCATTTTCTCTAACGTCTATTATTTTCAATATTATTAACATGCTTAATAACTAATTATATTTCATATCTTTTTTACATACTTGCCTTTTATAGGAAACCATTATATCTTATGAGTAGTTTTTTAAACAATACAGAACACTTCATTAAGTAGCTATGATTGAATTCGATAATAGCTCGCAAAGTTACGCTTAGAATACAAAAACATGAATCTGCTATAAAACGTTACATGATAGATAAACACTGCAAACCAGGGATATGTTCAAAAATTCTCATATTCAATGCAATAACCAACGGCCTGGAATCGCACGCATTGGTCATACTGTTCACAGCAGATGGTCACTGGCTTGCATAAGTACAAAAGTATTTCCTTTGAGAAAATATATCTCTCTTTGTACGCCTCTTTCGTCCTTGTTATCCAAATGATACAACCCGATACTTTATTGAATTTGAGCTATTTCAAATGTAATATTTATGTAACGTTACATTCCGTTCCGATGAAGAATTTAAAAATAATAATATTAAAAGAACATTACTTGTTCTTTTTATTAATTCCATATGTTCCTGTGCTTGAAAAATAAACCGAAACGTTTAGCATATAAAAACACACAAATAATTTAATTAAATTCATACTTTACTAGTAATAATATTCATAAAAAGTTACATTAAACCTTCAAATACCGAATTTTATTGTAAGTTGTTATATCTTATTCACCATTTTAAGGTGTTAACACAGTTGTATTACGTTACAGTTAAAAGCTCATTCCAAATGTTCAGTATTTAACACGATACTTAATATTTTTTATATTATATATTCATTTTAATTTGTTAATGTAAGTACATACCTTAAAGTTCTTTTTTATTTTGTTTTTCTCGGTTAACATACTATTTAACGTCGTAAATGTCACAATCCAGGGCTGGATTTAGGGGAGGGCAACGGGGGCAACAGCCTCGCGGCCTACACAAAAGAGGGGCCCCCAAAATAGAGACTGCGGAAAAAATATTCAAATTCAGACTAATAAACAATAGTAAAAAAATTTTTCCTTCCATATTTTTTTTTTCGCGTTTTACTTTTAACTACAGTACTTTGTTCAAATATGATTACATGAAATATTGACAGAAATCAATAGCAAATAATTTGGGGCTAAGAGGCCTCCACTCCTTTATTGCCCCGAGGCCTCCAGACCTCTAAATCTGGCCCTGTCACATTATCACCTTAGAATATTGATAATCGTAAATATCCCTTTGGACAGGCATCGCCTAATGTGCCCCCATGTGAAATTGTTATTATAAATACACTGAATATGTTTATATATATTATTAAGAGCCGTGATAGCTCAGTGTCCGGGCGCTCGCCTTTAGTTCATTATACTCGAGCAACCTGAGTTCGATCCCCGGTGCCGGCACCAATGAAGATTTTAACTTTAAGTGCTGACTTATCACGTGCTCCGCGGTGAAGGAAAACATCGTGAGGAAACCTGTATATTTTCGAAATAATAACAAAAAAAATATATTTCGAAGATATGTGAAGTCCGCCAATACGCAGTGGGGCCGCGTGGTGGACTATGCCCTGATACCCTCTCTATAGAGGAGGCCTTTGCCCAGCAGTGGGACATGTATAGGCTGTTACTTTACTTTACTTTTATATTATTTCTAACACTTCATAGGCTTACGATGTAAACAAAACTAATTGTTAGTTAAATTATCAAATAAATTGTCTATAAATTGTATATAAATATAAATTGTATATACTTTGATCTCAAATCGATAAGTTATCATGAAGATAATTAGCATTTCTTTATCGAGGCAATAAAAATGCCGTAAGGCAAGTTTCATGAATAATTTTTTATAGCTAAAATACGAAAATTTCCTTTTTCAACTGGTAAAGGAGGGATATATAAAATAATTACATATCATAAATGAATTCATAACAATTTTGCTGCTGCAAAAGTATTTATTTAATTTTACTAAAATAATATACGGTTATTTTTGGAAATCGTACGTGTATATTAAATTAACGCCTTAAAAGAATGGCGGCAGGCACTTGGGACTTGCGATTTAAGGTTACTGGTTCGAAGGCAGGTGACCCGATGAGTTATTCTGACTTCATACGTACGTTTAGCAAGCATTGACAATCAGCTTGATGAATGGCGCCTCTGTCTGCCCGGTTTGAGTTCAAAGGCGCGGGGGCTTGTATGTAAATAAGCATCCACACAGAAATAACAAATGCGTGGTGCAAACAGAATAAACAATGTGATCCGCAATTTTCATTGTTAAGATTTTTATTGCTAAAATCATTTGCATAAGAAGGTTGCTCAAATGCAGGTGAATGAAATTTCCTCATGTATTTAGATCAGCTGTTATTACTATCATTAATAAGTAATAAAGAGTATTTCAATCCATCTCGCAATTTTTGGGAAGTTCTATGGCCCCAGAAGACCACAGGTTTAAAAAGGAACTGTTATATTTTTTCGTGTTTTTGTCTGGTGAGTCGTGGAGGTAGGTAGCTTGGGCCCCATTTTTGAAATGGTAACGCATCTGCAACTTCACAAGTGTTTAAGATGTGTGATCAATGTGAGGTAGTAAAAACGATATCAGGTGAAGCGCTCTATCTAGCTGCTTTTCCACACTTTAGCTTAACAAAGCAGAAAAATTTTTTCACACCAAAAATTTTCGATGTTAAAGCCATTGAAATACAAAGCCGAAACAATTAATGTCTTTGTTGATAGCAGAGATCGGTGAAGCCAAAATCAGCAATCTTAACCAGCATAATATAACAAAGCGGCATAACATGCAAAAAATCAAGTTGGCACCTTCTTGCACCGTCTAGATTACATTTGCCATCCAGCAAATGTAATCTAGATAGCCATGAGGTGCAGAGATCACAGTTTTCGAATATATAAACAAGTGGAAGTAGGACTCGCGCACCGTTCCATACTTTATCTATAAAAATGGCAAAAAAATCATGTTTGTTGTATGGGCATGCATGTTGTTCTGTTTTTTTGGATTTGTTGTTATAGTATTATAGTAGCAACCGAAATACATCTATGAAAATTTGTCTAGCTATCAGGGTTATGAAAGATATCTCTTTATCTATTCCTACTGTTATCTGAAAGTTATGGGATTGCATGATCAGAATCATTATCATTATCGTCGATTGATCATTTGCCTATTTGTGATTTTTTTTTTTGGTGAAAATGACTTGTCGCGTAGTAGTGACTTTTTTTTTTTCATTTTACTCCTGTTTTTTCTTGCAACTGAAGAAAATGCAGTCGGTTGCGACAACATTGTTCCATTCACGATTATTAATATCCTTGATTATCTCCATGAAATCGTTTTTACATTATAAAGAAAATTGACCAGAGTCGGGCCCTTTTTGACAACTTATTTTTTTTAAAGTGTTCCATTGTTATAAAATTATTTGTTTTATTACAACCTTTAATTTACCCAAGCAATAATGAATTTAACTAATAAATAAAGTTCTGAAGTAACAAACATAAAAAATACAGTCAAATTGATAACCTCTCCGGTTTTGAAGTCGGTTGAAATCATGTATTAAACTGTTTACAATATTCGGTTGTAAGTACACCTATTAATAATACTACATAATTGATCCTTTTTCAATAAATGACACAGATTTATCTGTCAAGTGCATTCATCTGTGGGTTTGTCGTTTCGTGGTATATTATCATGTCAAATATCACGATTAATAACCCATATGGAAGCAAAACGGTGATCTTATTTATTCTTAAAGAACGCAGCTGTCAAAGCGACGATGAACCGAGCACATAACGCTCCTGGTATCTAAGGTCTATTCTAACATGTCAGCATTAAGGGTATAGATGTAGATACATCTATATCTAAAGAATATCATAAGTATAGATACACTTAAGATATTCTTTACAAAGCAGAGTTTTTCTCCCATATACATATGTTACATTCATTTTAAAGCCGTTAAATTATAAAGAATTGAATTAGATGTAAGCTCAGTTTTGGCAACATAAAAGTAAGATTTATTTTAAAGATGAAATGGAAAAAGTTTGCAGAATAAAATATAATTACTTATCTACGAAATAAAACTAAAATCACAGATCTTTTTGGGGATACCCAGATCTCTTAAGAAATTAGCAATGGCTTTTATCGTTAAAATCTTAACTATTTCTCGCCCACTATCAAACTATTTATATTCTGCCGATAACGTCCCTGAAATGATTTCTGAATGTTAACTGGAATATAGGTGCTATTAAAAATTGGTCTTTTATGTCTGGTTTAACTGTTAATATTTTTAAATACCTACCAAGACCATTATAAGGAATAGTTATTTTACTATATAAATTATTTGTAGGGAAAAAAATAAAAAATAAATAAAATTAGACTGAATACACATATAAAATTCCATCAAAATTGGTCAAGCCGTTTCGGTGGAGTAAAAACACTAAAACTGTGACACAAGAATTTCATATATTAGATACTAGCGGCCCGCCCCGGCTTCGCACGGGTATTTAACAAAATTTTTAAAACTAAAAATTATCATACACATAAAATGTTCCGAATATTTCGTCTTTGATGAATAGTTTTATGAATTTCTTCATCTTTTAATGAAATACCCTTGAAATTACGTCATGAAGATCGAAAGACCGCTGACCAGATAATGGTTCCGCTTTAATTCCGGACATTCGGGGTTACACGTAAAAGTGACCAATAAGTCTGGTCTCCCATAGCTTCGGACATAAAAAAAAGTCTTATGTCTTATGTCTTATGTCTAATTCAATCTTTATGATATCTTTTTTACATAAAATCGACAATGTATTGAATAAAAACCAGCCAAGTGCGAGTCAGACTCGCACACGATGGGTTCCGTACCGACCTCACAGAAGACCGGCGTAAAATAGAAGTGTTATACTTCTACGTTTCATCGGGTGAGAGAGGTAGCCGGGGCCCACTTTATTTAAAGATGTCAACTCATTTGCAACCCTACAGGTGTTACAAATGTCCATGGGCGGCGGTTATTACTTAACATCAGGTGAACCGCCATCTCATTAGCCACTCTATCGCTCTATCACCATAAAAAAAACATGTTTTAATGTCTTTATTCAATATGGAAAGATATGAGTTACTTACATATTGTCAAAAACACTACTACTGACACATTATCTATAAAAACAACAAAAAAATCATGTCTGTTTTATGGGAGCCCCACTTATTTATATTTTTTGTTTTTTAGTATTTGTTGTTATAGCGGCAACTGAAATACATCGTTTGTGAAACTTTCGACTGTCTAACTATCACGATTCATGTGATACTACAACTTGGTGACATATGGACAGACATATGGACATACAGACGGACAGCGGAGTCTTAGTAATAGGGTGCCGTTTTACCCTTTGGATACGGAACTCTAATAAGTCCCAGTAATAATGCAATGGCTTAAAACAGGTAGCTCTAACCATCAACCTAAATGAATGCAATTGTATGCATGTCACAGTTTTGTTACGCACTGTACCTTGCTGAGGAATAGTCAAATAATAACCATCTTCTCCCATTACGACGATTAAGGGATATTGTAGTGGATCATGCAATCGGTGTAACTCTATCGGTCTAACCTTTTAAGTTGGCCGTGTCTACCGTGCAGCACTATATCTCTGGGCCATTTTATGGTTCGGTACCCAAAGGGTAAAATGGGAACCTATTACTAAGACTCCGCTGTCTGTTTGTCCCTCTGTCAACAGGCTGTATCTCATGAACCGTGATAGTTCCACAGTTGAAATTTGATTTGGGTGTTTGTTTCCCAAGGAGGTTTAACGTCAGGCAGGCGGCTGGTTGTAAAAATATGGCCAAAACCGCGTACAACATGATTCATGTTGTTCCGACCCCACCTAGGTGGGATAGGGTCAGGAAGATGATGATGACTTATATTATACTTGTCCCTCTATTTTAAAAGTTCGCGTCAAACAAAGTCATTTGAAAGAGGCTATTGTACTTT